TCAGGATGCTCAAAGCTTTCCGGAGGGTTGCTGGGAGCTTGGGGACTTTGCACCCCACAGAACCAGACCTTGTCCTGCTCCTGCCATCCCCACACAACACACCGCTGCCTTGCAGCACCTGGGCATGAACAAGCAAGGTGTGAGAGAAAAGTGGAGTGAGTGCCCAGCTTACTGAATTGTTAAAGAGGCAAGCAAAAAATCCAGGCTTCATGCTGCTGCTGGCTTCCTCTGTTGTGTCTCAGCCCTTTGGGAGCTGTAGAGCAAACAGCAGTCTGTGGTACTAATCTGCTGCCTTACAGCGCTGATGTACGGTCACTGCAGAGTTACACGAGACACTGTCAACTTCAGTTTTGCTCCAGTTCATGATTCCTTTGTTAGTATTAGCAGGATAAATAGTTTGAAGTGAAACATCTTGAAAAAATCCCACTGTACTTGTTACTAACTATGGCCTGAAGTCTGCATTTCTGTTCGCTTTCACGGTGATTAGTCACTGTATGACAGCAAAGAGCAGCTCAGTCTACAGCAATGCTCCTCCAGCATGCAAAAGATCTTGCCAGACACCTAATCCTCACTTTTTTTCTTCTCAGTCCCTTCGTTCTTACACTCATTAAAATTAATGGGAAAGATCCCTATTGTGACTGTGGGTTTGGTTGCACTCAAAGATCCATTGTCCAGGGATACTGCTATGGCACAGTGGTCAGCCCTGGGAGGGGAATGAGGGGCAGAAGCCTTCTGTGTTAACTCCTCTCTGGCTGCATAACAACTTCACCAATGGCCTGCAAACCATCCCATGGGATGCAGGAACAAGAATGTAGTATGGAAGGTGGAAAAGGGCAATACCCTTCAGGAAGCTTTCCAGGGAGCTTTCACAGCATCTTCTGGGTATGCTATATGTCCTGGTTCATACTTGAGCTGAAATGCTATAGAAAACCAGGAGCAGACAGTCACAATGGACAATGTGGGCCTGAGATTAGACAGACATAATCTAAGTTTAAGAAAGTGGCTTTAAGTCAGGATTGCTCCGAACACCCCAAGTATGCACGAGTCATATGCATGGCTGAGGTGCAGCCAGCTACCTCGAGGTGTTAGTGACTGAGTGATGTGGTGCATTTTGGACTGAAATGAGAGGATGGGTAAGGAAGTGGTGCAGTCTCATACCTGGATAATAATCAGCACTGAGCAGCATGGCAGTGTGGTATCACACTGCTTCTTAAGCTTCACTAAAGGGAAACCATCCCTAACTGAGGGATGGTTTGGGACAAAGATCAATAATGGCTATGGAAGCCAGAGAATCTGGTTTGCAGCATGGTTCTTGGGTGATAAACCGATGAGTTCTGTACCGTGATTTAAGTCTGTGGGATGTCCTCCTTTCTTTAATAGGCCATGAGCTAGCTAAAAATAAGGATGTCATCAGAAGACTGTGTGTGTGCCAAGGGGGTTAAGTTGGCCTTTTAGGAAGCTAAGGTAAAGTCTCTAGGGCTGTCAGAAAGCCCTAGAAAGTGAAAGGGGAAGATGGATCTAATAGACAAAGTAGTTTAGGGCATGGGTTTTAAATAGGAAATGTGAAAAGAGCAAGCAGCTGACTTGGGGGACTGGAATCCTCTGGAAGGAAACTGAAGTTGAAAGAGAATAAAAAGAAGTCAACAAACAAAAGATATAATACAAAAGATTGAACAAAGTATTTTAAAACAGAATAAAAACTGGGGGGAAAAAATGTGTAGAACGGGCTAACATTTAGTCAGATGCAAATAAAAAGATGAATTGGAAGAAAAACAGTACAGAATTAGAGCAGTAACTTGTTTTCACACCTGCAAAAGAGGCTTTATGCAAATAAAAGGCAGAATATTCTCCAATTTTTTAGTGATTTATCTCTAGCTTTCAAAATATCAGTAAGAGTTACAGGAAAAATAACTACAGCGTCCTTACGTGGTACATAATTTGTTGGTGTGCTGTAGTAATTCTAAGAGAGGGAACAAACTTTAAGAGCTGGGGACAAGCCCTGATCAGTAGTGAACCTGTTATACTCCACAGGGTTTTGAGCTTGTTTTGTTTCTCACTCAGTAGAAGCAGAAGGAAATGAGTTTTAGTTTCAGATGTAACGTACAACACTATGTACAGTTTGAAATTCACAGCAGTGTAAGTTCAGGCAACAGCATTTTATTAAGAAGGTAAATAATATTGCAGGTACTGACATACCAGCTGGCAGGGACATGGCCGCTGGTACACTGGTTCAACTAACTTAATTAAAAGGTTTAATTTAAATATCTGTTTGGAAAACATATTACATTAGCATATCTAAAAGGCATGAGGGGATTGAGGGAATTAGATTTGCCAAGTTGAAAGACAGGATGGAAAAAGTCAGCCTAACGGACAGGGGATATCTTGGAAAGCAATCACAGGAATAGCGAGGGACTTTATTTTTTTAAATGTCAATTTGAAAGAAGAAAAAAAAGATTGTAGAAGGACATTACAATGTTGGGTGAAGAACAGTGGCCTGAAGGGTGTGTGTCAGTACAAACAGCTGAAGACACTTGGTTTCCACAGCTTGGAGAGTTTCCGAAGACAGACTGGAGACTTCCCAGGGGATGTATCCTACGTACACCTGTTCTTTCTCTTCCCTGAGGGTATCTATTTTTCCATATATGCTTTTTAACTTAGCAAAGTTTTAATGATAAAACAACAAAGCTCCTTCAGTTTTCCCACATTTGAGAGAGCTCTTTGTCGGGCAGGCTGTCACTCTGATGCAGGTAATGGGGCAGGGGAGGTCTGTGGTTACTGACATTCTTGACTGTGAACAGCAGTAAGTCAGGATGGTCTGATGCTGTCCTAAGCTGCCACCAGCACACTCAGGTTATTACTAGATGAAATCTGTTGCCCACCTCTCAGCATAGACAATGCTGGTCACAATGATGCGTGTTCTCAGTTCTGAGTAGTGCAGGTATTCCAGGCTTCAGATGAGGGACTCCTTTAGTATCTGCCCACCTCATCCTGCACAGCTGATCCTCAGCCCCTCCAGCTGCAGTGTGGTGAACAAAAAATGCTCCTGGGTCTCGCACACCAGGCACAATTGCTTGCAGCATGTTGCTCAAGACAAACTCTTGGTCTGATTCTGCACCTCAACCCTCTGCAAAACAAGGGAAAGTATCTGGGAGATGTGCAGAAGGTTCAAGCACCAGGTGAAGTTCAGCGCAATGCTTTTTACATGCTTCTGAATGACTTCTTTTGTCCTCCCACTGATGGGAAGGTGTGTATGTGCACACCTGTGTGACTAAAGAACAAAAGAACCCACTGCAGCCAGTCTTGTAAATAGGACAGATTGACTTCTGTGTGTTAGATCTATGAATGACCTCAGCCACCAACCAGGAAATGCAGACTATCAGCATGTATTTTGCATACAGCAGTTACTGAGTGTTGTGTATGAGATGCTGGACACTGGCCACAAATCAAATGCAACTGTGCTGTTGCTTCACAGGCTTCCAGACTGGGAACAAGAAGCCTGAGTTCCTGTTCCAGCTGGTGATGAAGAGAGCTCCTGGCAGAGATGGACCATGGGAGGTAAATTATCAATCTTAATTAACTGTTAGAACACAATGGATAAAATGAGATGTCTTTTTCATGCAACATGGTTTCTCTACCTTAACTTCCTTTAATTTCTCCAGTTTCCTCTTTGCTTCTGGGACACAAACGTGACACAAATCCCCCAGGCTGGGCTCCTAGCAGCCGCCTCAACGAATGGCCAGTAAGGGCTGCTGAAATCACAGCACATCAGGTGTCATCTGAGCTATTTAATTAGAACAAGTTTCCTTACGTTGCTTTCTGTGAGAGGCATGCAGCCAAATTAGCTTCTAGAAATTCAAAGTTCCGATATGGATCACACCAGATCGCTGCTGCCACCGATGCTCTGCACCTGTTTCATCCTAAATAGCTCCACTGCTGTCTTTGGAGCCACTTCCAGCTCTAATTTGGGAAACAGAAGAGGCCAGGAATTAGGATAGCTCTATCAGACTGCGTTTGACCCTCCTCAGCTTTGAGCAATTATTGCAGTCTATCCCACTGATCCAGCCAACACAAACGCGCTGCATTTTGCGCACTAAAGATCTGCCCAGCAGGGCTCCGATCTCTCCCAGCTGCCGGGGACACGGCGCAGCCAGCAGCCGGCCCTGCGCGCATGGCTCGGGCTCTCGGACGCTGCTCACCAATGACTTGCAAAAGCTCGTTAAAGGCACAGGTGCGCTTTCACACGGGGAGCGGTTTGAGGCAGATGGCAGTGCAGGGTTTGCAATCGAGCAATTGTAGCGCATCGGCTCATGTAAAATTAGTGCTCGATTCTTTTCTTAAACAAAGGCCTGCCTGTAACCACGTTAACGCTGTTGCACTGTTAGATTCAGGTTACACCTGAAAATAGCTTTTCATAATTAAGCTACCGACACTCCTCACCCTCGTGTTTCCCACCGGCACTCTGCAGCCGGAGGACGGACGCATCCTGGACCGCAGCTCGGACATCTCAGCAGCTGCCGACCAACGCGAGGCTATGGCCCTCAGCGCACGTCGCGCTCGTTTCACCCATTTGGGCGCAATTACGCGCAGAGAAGCACAACAGCGCGGCCCGGGCGCCAGCCGAAGTTACGCCTCCGGGCCATTTAAAAGAGCAGAGTGGAGCTGGGTACCGGAGGACCGCGGACAGGAGATGCGGAGCCGCCCGGCGCCGCCACCCCGTGCCGGAACCGCGCGCCCGAGGCCGGTTGCGCGTGGCGGCGGCGCGCACGCGTACGGGCCCGCCCAGCGGGGGCGCGTCACGGCGGCGCGCGGCTGTATCGGGGCCGCGTGCGGGCGGCG